ATTTGAGGGTTTTGTGTGGAGAGTTTTGGGGTTTTGGAGCACAGAAAAAGAGAGATCTTTCTGAGCTATTTGTTAGGGTTATTGGTTGAGAGATTGAGAGATTTGTTGGTGAGATTAGTTGGTTCGTTTGAGCGATTTGTAATCTCAATTTGTACTCTCCTTCTCTATTAGTGAAAACCCACCCCCTTCTTGCCCCGTGGACGTAGGCAATTTGCCGAACCACGTAAAACCTTGGTGTTTGTGTTTTGTTTGGTCTTTCTCTCGGCGTTCGTTGGTTTGGTTTCTCAAAGCATCAGTCACAACAAGTGGTATCAGAGCACGGGCAACGCTTGGGCTATTTGGAGGAGTAGATCGCTTTGGAAGTTCATCTAGGGCTTCGTTTGGTGATAAAGGTGGGATCTTTTTTTGTAAAAATCTCGTCTTTTTCAGTTTGGATCTATTTCTCGTTTGTTTCCGCATTGGTTTGGTGGTGCCTTGAGGATTATGGCCGAGAAAGAAGGAGTTGTGGGCAGTACTTCCGGCGTGAAGACCGTCCAAAGCTTGAATATCCACTCAATGAAGATTGATGTGGAAAAGTTCAATGGCACAAACAATTTTGGACTTTGGCGATGCGAAGTCATGGATGCGCTCAACGCGCAAAATTTGGAAGATACGTTGGAGTTGGACGGGAAACCGGACAACATTGATGAGAAGGTTTGGAAAAAGATGAATCGAACGGCGTGTGGTGTGATTAGGTCTTGTCTCACTCAAGATCTAAAGTATGATGTGATCAATGAGACTTCTGCAAAGAAGATTTGGGAGATCCTTGAGAGCAAGTATTTGACCAAGAGTGTGGAGAATCGCTTGCATTTGAAGAGGAGGCTTTACCGCTTCCAGTTGAAGAAAGGAACCTCCATTGGTGATCACATGAACCACTACACGAAGCTTCTTGCGGATTTGGCGAATGTGGATGTTAAGATTGAAGATGAGGACAAGGCGTTGTTGCTATTGAGTTCCTTGCCTGACGAGGAATATGAGACCTTCGTTCTTACTCTTATTAATGGGAAGGCATCTCTTTCGTATAGTGAGGTCACCGCTGCACTTGTGAATTATCAGCTTCGAAAGAAGGATAAGGAGACTTCGTTTGAGCCGGTAGCGGGGGCGTTGGTCGCAAGAGCAAAGGGTCCAAACCGTAGTGGGAGGTCGCAGTCTAGAGGGGCACATCTTGGAGTTCGTAAGAATCAATGTGCCTTTTGCAAAGAAGATGGACATTGGAAAGCCGATTGCCCAAAGTTAGTTGATCGAGCCGGGAAGAATAAGGGAAAAGCTATTCAAGCTTCAGAGGCGAATGTTGTCAAGGCTAGTGGCAACGATTCAGATTCGGATTCTTCGGGCTACTCGTTATCTGCACTGCCGTCAGTTTGTGTTGCCTACTCTACAGAGTGGATATTGGATTCGGGTGCTACATACCACATTTGCCCTAGGAGGGATTGGTTCTCCAGCTTTCAGGAGTTGGAAAGAGGGGATTTCGTGCTCATGGGGAATGATCACAAATGCTCTATTGGTGGTATTGGTACTGTTCGGATCAGGATGAGTGACGGGGTGATTCGGGAGTTGGTTGGAGTGAGGTTCGTTCCTCAGTTGAAGAAGAACATCATTTCACTTGGAGCTTTGGAGGCAGCTGGCTATAGGGTGACCTTGGCGGATGCACGCTTGAAGGTTACATTTGGGTCCATGATTGTGATGAAGGGCGTCAGAAGAAGAAATTTGTATTATTTGCACGGAAGCACGGTGATTGATAGGGAAATGACGACTTCATCAGATTCGGCTAGACTGTGGCATTGTTTGGTGCTGGGGTATATGATTGGTAATACCGTGCATTGGTTGTTGAGGAGTGCTATGACCTGCAGATTGAAGTCCTGTGAGCACATTAGGATGAGCGAGACCGTGGTGGAGTTTGGCACTTCTATCCATCGAGCGAGGGGTCTTTTTGGAGGTGTTCAGTCAGGCATTTGGGGGCCTTCCAAGGAGGCATCATTGGGAGGTAATCGTATCTTGGTTTCCACAGTTGGTGATTGTTCTAGGCATTATTGGGTCGCGACCAGTTCCCGTTGGTGTAAAGTCCTAGAAGTCAACAACAATTGGAAGAAGTGTATTGGCAGAAAGGTAACTCATTGTTTCAGCTTTGGTAGGGGTCCTTTCTTGCGTTGGTGCCGAGCTCACGGCAATAGGAGACACTTCATTGGTGTGGAGACTTTGGGGCGACGAGATGAGATGACAGTTTCGATGGGTCGTTCCTTTCTGGAGGAGGATCGGCGTTTGATGTCGAGCATTGGCATTGGTGTGCGGGCTTCGACATATTTGGGTCATCTTATGCATAGGTCGCCGACTGCTGCTTTAGGAGTTATTAGATCTGGTGGAGCTGCTTCAGATTTTGGGTCGCGTCGGATATTTGGATACCCAGCATTTGGTCACATCGTGGATGTGAGATTGGATCCGATTGCGCGTTTGGGGTTCGGAGGCTCAGTTGATTATCGTTTGGGAGCTTCTGATTTTGTTCTGAGCAGGTATGTCACTTTTGACTCTCGGCAGGTGGAGAGTGTTGATCAGGTCATTTGGATATCGCAGCAGGTGGAGAGTGATGCTACTCCACGTTGGGTGGAGATTACTCCACATACTCCAGATCATACTGCGTCATTTGGGATTCCAGCTAAGGTGACACAGGTTGGAGATCATTTGGTTTTGGATGCAGATGATGGATTGGTTTTGGATTCAGTTGCAGCTGGTAGATATAGTTTGGATATGGCCATTGGTTTACCTCAGGTGGAGGTGTTTGATTTGTCTCAATTTGGGGTCATTGGGAATACTATCAGTTGCAGATCGTTTGGTGATATTGGAGAAGAGTTGCAGACTTTTCTATTTGATTGAGGGCCTTTGGAGGCCGTTTGGGTGAACTACGTGAAGGCTTGATTCCTTGGGCAAAGGATACGTAGGCAGTCATTTTGATGCAGCCGATTTGGTGAGCGACATCGACATTTGGGGTGAGTGTTCACACTCTCATTTGGGTCTCAGCATGTGAGGCATTTGTTTGGTTGGTGTCGGCTCAGTTTTGGGAAAACTTCGCCGAGGTGGAGAATTGTGGAGAAGAATTGGAAAAAGCAGATTTTTGGTCATAAGTCGACTCATGCACAGGCATAAGTCGACTTATGGTAAGTCGACTTATGTTGGTGCATGAGTCGACTTACGTTCTGCTCTGGATTGTTGGTTTTTTGCTCTGCCAAGTCGACTTATCAGGTCTGATAAGTCGACTTATGATCTCTTCTCCAGTTGCTGTTTTTCGCTCTGCCAAGTCGACTTATGCAGACTGATAAGTCGACTTATGACGGGTTTTTTGGAAAGTTCAGGTTCCTATTTGCAGTCTGTTTGGGTTTCTGTTTTGGTATAAATACCAATACGATTTGAGGGTTTTGTGTGGAGAGTTTTGGGGTTTTGGAGCACAGAAAAAGAGAGATCTTTCTGAGCTATTTGTTAGGGTTATTGGTTGAGAGATTGAGAGATTTGTTGGTGAGATTAGTTGGTTCGTTTGAGCGATTTGTAATCTCAATTTGTACTCTCCTTCTCTATTAGTGAAAACCCACCCCCTTCTTGCCCCGTGGACGTAGGCAATTTGCCGAACCACGTAAAACCTTGGTGTTTGTGTTTTGTTTGGTCTTTCTCTCGGCGTTCGTTGGTTTGGTTTCTCAAAGCATCAGTCACAACACCTCATCCCCCATATATTACCATTTTGATTATTAACGTCAACAACTTCCAAATATAATCAACATAAAACCCATAAACTTGCCGTATACTAGCGTGTACACCGAACCCAACTTGCGCGTTCAATGACGGACATCACACGACTTGACTCCCCTATCCCTCCTAACATTTTGCACATTCATGACGTAACGTAACTTTTTAAAAAGGCCGCTCCAGCACCCAGATCTAAAGCAAACTGTCCTCACCAATAAATAAATAAACAAATAAATCCTATTGGTCCCTTAACATTTAATATTTTTAATTAATCCCTTAAATTATTAAAATTGCTATCGCCTCCCGTAAATTTTATAATTTATCTCAAATTAGTACTTCCGCTTTCTTAGTATTTAATATGGGAGAATTTATTTATTTTTGATGCTGAATGCCAATGGTAACCTTATGTTCAATATACATCTATACCTATTCATTTTAGTGGAACGTGTTTACATCCCGAACCCGAGGTAAAATTATAAATAACTATCACTAACCAATTGGGATTAGCAAGTTGGACGGGTATTAGGGGTGCCAAACCGTATCCGTATCCGAGGAAATATCCGTAACCGTATCCGTTAGGATACGAATATGGTTACTCAAATCTATAACCGATAGGATATGGTAACGGATATGGTTTTGTAGTGAAATATCCGTATCCGTATCCGAAAATATTCGAATACATATTGGTCATACTCTTACTATACTTTCGATTCTTAGATTATGAATTTGTGGTTAATTTTGATGATCAATATGTCTAATCTTAGCTTTTCAATCATAATGAACATATTAACGAACTCTTTTTGTATCATATGACTATATTTTTCTGAATACTATCTAGTTTTCTCATATCTTTTTTGTATCCGCATGTATATCCGTTTATATATCCGCATCTATATCCGTAACCGTATCCGATTTTGGCGGATATGGATATGTATTTTTCTTACCGACGTATATCCGTATCTGTATCCGTATCCGAGATGGGTAAACAGATATGGATATGGTAAGTGTCATATCCGAGCCGTATCCGCTCCGTTAACACCCCTAACGGGTATTCTAATATATGGCCCAATGTGTAACAATTTATAGAGTTTGAGGGACCCCATATCAATTTCAATAATTAGAGGGACGAATGTTTGAATAATAAAATTAGCATCAGAAAACCCATTCGCCATTGGGACCCACACGCATATATAGACCTGAAAAAAAACCCAAACGAAGAAGAAAAAGTAAAATAAATACACACTCAGAACCTCTCTACCAACAGTTACCTCGTCGTCTAAAGGCTCCAACAGATCTCGGATCCGTACCGGGTTCGGATCCTCCTCCTTCTAAACTGGATCCCGTTCAAGAAACCGTCAAACCCTCCAACGGCCAGATCCGCTACCGCTCCCCCTCCGCCGCCGAGCTCACCCACTCTCACGCGGATCTCGACGCCAAGATGAAGCGCGCCCGACAAGAATCCATACCCGATAAGATCCAGCGCTACAAAGGTGTGATCCTCGTAGTTTCGATCCCTTTGCTCCTGATCTCGTTCGTGCTCTTCTTGATGCCGCGATCACCGGCGGCGCCGAAGCTGATGACGACGGAGGACATGTCGACGGTGGCGGTTGGTCGGAAGACGGTGCCTGGGGGCTTGGGTCCGAGGAGCTACGCGGTTATTTTTGATGCAGGGAGTTCAGGGAGTAGAGTTCATGTGTATTGTTTTGATAAGAATTTGGATCTGGTTCATATTGGGAAGGAGCTCGAGTTGTTTGTCCAGGTAAAGTTTTGAACTTTTTGGAAAATTTGAAGTCTTTTGATTAATTTTGGTCAGTGAATTGGGTAGATTTCGTACTGAATTTTTGAACTGAGAATGCAGGCTTAGGTAGATTCTAGATTGTTAAGTCTATATAACTTAGATCTATTTGAGGCTGCTTTGTTAATATAAATGAGTGTAATTAAGTAAATGAAAAATTTTAAACTTTTTGTTTTGCAATTTGGAAGAATGGGGAGTTGTTTGATCGATGTCAGCTGCATGAAAATTTTGAATTCCAAATGTGTAGTTGTTTAGTTTGATCATCCTTTGCCAGGGATATGAAATGCATAGAAACTGAATCCTCTTTAGTTATATTTTAGCCATTATTGCAGAATTTAGTGTCTTTTTGAGCCACTTACTCCTCTGAAAATGGTTAGAATTCACCTCCTGACCTTAGCTTCCCTAGGTCTCCTTCTAACACATTTATATCAGCCTTGGAGCCCCTTCATGTATATGACTTTATCTGAGTAGGTCTACTGCTAATTATAAGCTAGAACATTAAAGAAGAGAAGAGGAAGAGGAATTGTGAAAATGAGTATGTTCTCAGATCGTAACCCTTGCATTTAAGCATAGATGTCTCATCCTGTCATGCTGCATGCATAATGGAGATGAAATCTACTTAAAGTTCTCTCTCAAATTACTCATACATACTCTACAAAGTTCTGAAGTCTTCCACCCCCAACCTTGGACGTGTATACTTTAGTACATGGTATGGTATGCCACATGCGAACACAAGAAGTTCAATTCATGTAATAATTTCTTGATCATATGACCTATTTCATCATCGCCATATGAATTTTTCCGTGCAACCAGGTTGTGCACATGGACATATATGGACATATGTAAATATTAGCCAAATTCCACAGCCACCTGCCAATATGATATCAACTTTAGAAGAAATAATTAGTTTCTAGATATAGGAGGTTTAGTCAAGGACTCTAGGACCATTCCAAAATACATGGTTGATTTCAGAGCTGATGTAATTTCTAGCAGAGTTGTCCTCTACTTTAGAGTGATATGTAACTTGGATAGTAGCTCATCTTTGTATCTAACATGCCTGACAGCAAAAACAGATGTATAACTCCCTACAGTTTTTAACACAATTAAAATTTGACAGCCTCCTCTTCCTATCTGTTTTTATAATAGTAGCTCATGATGTGAATTGTGAGATGTCAATTTCACAAATCCATGGCCGTGCTTTGGTCAAGGGAACTTTGATATAATATTTATTCCCTTCACTGTCTAACCTACATTATCTAAGCTACCCCAGGAAAAGCACTCAGATCTTTCCCATACACCATCTTACTTCTTTTCACCTATTGCATCCAGAAAAAACCAGGCTTAAGCTCCTATGCTGAAGATCCCAAGGAGGCTGCAAATTCACTAGTTTCTCTTCTGGAGCAAGCAGAAAGTGCAGTTCCTGTAGAATTGCGGCAGTCAACACCAGTTCGAGTTGGGGTAATAACTCTGATTGTTTGCTTTCTAGTTCATAATTATGTACATAATTTGAAGCTTTTGACTTGGACCATGTTCATTCACTGGTTGAATTTTCTTTCTATGCAGGCGACTGCAGGTTTGAGAACATTGGGAGATGAGACTGCTGAGGAAATTCTTCAAGCGGTAATGACCTTTAGCTTTTCTTTACCGAACTTGTCTATTGATTCAAAGCAAATGATAGTGCCTTCTAGTGCATTTTTCTTTTAAATATCATCTACTAAGGGTTTATCCACCCTAACACATATCTGTGATCCAATTATATTGTATTGCTCTTACTCAAGAAGTAACTAGCCCCCAAAGCCATTTATTCACTTTCTTTCCATCCTGTGACTATTACAGGTTAGGGATCTCCTAAGGGACAAGAGTTCACTAAAATCTCAACCGGATTGGGTCACTGTCCTTGATGGAACGCAGGAAGGAGCTTATCAGTGGGTATATCATTTAACTTTTTTTTTATACTAGCAAGGTGTATCTGCATTGCACGTGGACAGAATTATCTCGTATTTCTAAATCAATTTTCTGGGTAAACAAATAAAGTTCAGAGTATAGAACTTCAGAATTGTCGGAGTATGAATCATTGATTTCGATTTTAGACATGCTTTTAACTTTAGCTATCAAGTATGATTTAATTTTAATTTAATCATTTGATAATGGTCATATTTCTAAATCAAATTTATGTGTAAGATAATAAAGTTTAGAATCAAATGGAGTATATTTTTTTAACATGATTTTAACTATATCAAGTTTTAACTTTCAATTAATCCTTTGATGATAATGAGGTTTTTCTTTAACATGGATTGACATTTAATTATTTGATAATTGATAATTAATAATGATAATAGGCATTTGATTGGAAATTACCAAAATTGAAAGTTAAAAGTCATTGAACATGAGTTAGTATTTAATCATTTGATAATGGACATAGTTATGAATTATCAAATTTGGAAGAGTAAATAAGGCAATAATTTTTTTTCAACATAGCAATCCTTTTTTATAAGTAGTATTGAATTTTAAAGTTTATCTTCAGACTGGCAGTATGTTATGAGATTTTTTTTTCTCTAGAGTTCTATTAAAGGTGCATAGTATTTTGGGGCAAAGGTCAATTCCTGCAAGACTTACAGTTTTTTCATGGTAATTATGTGATAATATTACTTTTCGAGTCTTAGTATTTTCAAATTTAAGAAGAAAGCCTTCATTCATCTTATGTAACAGTATTTTGATCTGACATTGAAGATAATATGCAATTGAACATTTGGTTTGGGAATAGTGAAGCGGTCTTGCGTAAAACTTTTAACTCAAGATGGATGAATAATCAACTCAACCTCGTTAGAAGAAGCTCAATACTTTTCAAGTTTACTGTTTGAAATAAACAGAGCTTTTGTGATGATGACTGCAACTGGCAACACAAAGTTAATGCAGTTTTTTCATGTCCTGTTCCCGACTTATTGGAAAACTTTCTGCTAGGACACAGTAGCTGAATCATGAATGCTTTACTGCAATTGTATTTACTTCTCCTTGGGGAAATGATTAAGTTTATTAGTTTTCTTTAATATTGTGAGCAATCAATTTCAATGTTGTGAGCAATCAATAGAACCTCTTATCAAGAGCTGCATAATTTTTATGTGAATTGTCCATTTCAGCTGATGGTATTGAAGCTGTGGTTCATGTATACTGCTTACAGCCCTGAATTGATTTCCTTTACCTGATCGTTTATAGCCATGACATGTCTTCCAAAATGTTGTTCCAGTCGAGAATTTATTGTCTTCGATACACTTACTTGATGTTGTCTTCTTTACATGTGAAATATCTGCTAACCTATGGAGTTGTGCTTTTAGGTTACCATAAATTATTTGCTAGGGAGGTTGGGGAAGAAATACTCGAAGACAGTAGGAGTAGTTGATCTGGGGGGTGGTTCTGTCCAAATGGCATATGCTATCTCAGAAAGTGATGCTGCTAAGTCCCCACGAACCTCAGATGGAGAAGAAAAGTATGTGAAGGAGCTTCTACTTAAGGGAACAAAATACTACCTCTATGTTCACAGGTTAGAAATCTTCCAATATTGAGGGAAAAAAATTGCAATTAAAGTTGCTGAACTCCTGACTAAAATATTCAGTTTCCATACTTGTTAAAGGTCCATTTATTCAGAAAATATTATCTTCACTAAGATGTTTGATGTCATAAAAATTTGATAATTTTCGTCATTTTTCTGTAGTTACTTGCATTATGGTTTACTGGCTGCTCGAGCAGAGATTTTGAAGGTTGCAGAGGGCTCTTCCAGTTGTGTTTTGAATGGTTATCATGGTAAGGATCATAAATGTGCCTTTTCTATTCTCTTTAATTCCAAGTTATATTGATCTACCTTAATTTATTGTTGGGCACAAATTGGGAAAAAGAAATTCTCCATATTGTCAAGGAAAACCTTGCATGCATTTTAAACAGTATCTACTAGGTGCAGCTTACGATTTTATAAAGAGCTCATCTTACAATTTTATACAGAGCACATTTTACAATTATCAAAAGTATATGAATGGTGAAATATCAAGAAAGATAAGCTAGGAAAGAGGGAATTGGCGCAAATAATGATAAAGATATTGATGTCCAAATGACTCTTAGGGGGTGTTAGTCAATTGAGACATTTTCATGCAAAATGGGATAATTATTAAAGTGGAATAATTTTTCGCTAGTGGGATATTTTAGTCGGATAAATAGGAACAATTTTGTGAAGTGGGATATTTTGATAAAATAACGTGGGATAAATTTTTATAATCATGAAATATATATTTATGCATTTTAAAGATATAAATACTATTTATGCATTTTAAACTTACTATTATTGATTGATAATTGCTTACAAGAATGTTCTTTACTATTAAATAACTTTTGGTTAGACTATAAGATATTGACAATTATTATTATAATGATGGTCTAATGATGGTGATAACCATAATAGGAAAGAAGTAAAGAAAGAAAAAGAAATATAAAAAATAAAAAATAACAAAATAAATATGAGTTCTAGTTTTTTACCACCTAGTTCCAAACTAAAACTTAGAATAATTTTAGAGACTAGAATTCTCATTTTTTGTATAGAAAAATGAAAAATATGGAATAATTTTGTACCATTATCCCAATTCTAGTTTTGTTAGAGTTCTACTTGACTAACACTGTAAAATTTTGTTCTAGTTTTAGTTCTATGTGACTAACACCTTAAAAATTTACCCCACAGATCTTCTCAGTTGGCTATTCATTTATTGCTGTCTAGGATCAAAAATGACTCTCCACTAATACAGAGACTACTTTTGTTTTTCTTACATTCTGCATGCTCTATCTCTTACTGTTTATTGCATCAGAATGAGATTATGGGATCTCCTTTACGATTTCTTATATCACATTTGCTTATCTACTTTTAAAGGTACATATAAATATGGTGGTGGAGAATTCCCAGCAAATGGTTTGCCTTCTGGGGCTAGCTTTGCTGAGTGCAGGAGCGATGTAGTTAAAGCTCTCAGAGTTGATGAACCAGCATGCACACATATGAAGTGTACGTTTGCTGGTGTATGGAATGGTGGAGGTGGAGATGGGCAAAAGAATCTTTTTGTTGCGTCCTTTTTCTTTGATAGGGCCGCAGAGGTAACACCTTTAACTGCTATTTTAATTCCATGACCCATTTATGGAAGAAAAAAGAAATCCTCTAGGGAGGTCTCTGTTGAAAATCATATAGGTTCATAGCGGATGAAGAAATCTGGCCTAACATGAACTTTTGATGCTTACATCACTATCATTTGTTGACTGCAATCTGATTGTGCTAATAGATGCAGACTATACCGACAGACAAGCCTATTGAACTGCTTATTGATGGTGAAGTGTGCATCAAAATTCTTGTTAGATCAAGTGTCTTCATCACCCATATGCCTATATGATTTTCTGTGCATAGGGCCTCTATGATTTTTTCCACTTTGGCAACGACATATGTGATTACCTTCTCATACTCCTGGTCAACTTCAATGTACTAATTTTACATATACATATTGTTCCAAATCAGGCTGGCTTCGTGGATGCCAATTTACCAGTGGCTAAGGTTAAGCCTTCAGATTTTGAGGAAGCAGCGAAGCGTGCTTGCAAATTGAACGCAGATGAGGCCAAGGCTACCTATCCTCATGTCTCAGAAGGAAATCTCCCATACCTGTGCATGGATCTCACTTATCAGTACACATTACTTGTTGATGGATTTGGTTCGTCCCCTTAAATTCATTTACACCCGTTTAATTATGTATTTTTTCCAATATAATTCTAAATCTTCCATATTTGTATTATGATGCCAGGATTGGGGCCTTGGCAAGAAATCACACTAGTGAAGAAGGTACAATATGGGGATGCTTTAGTAGAAGCAGCTTGGCCATTGGGTAGTGCCATTGAAGTTGCATCATTGACATAAAAACAACGCTTTTGGCATTGGAGGATTTTGTGGGGTGTATATTCTGGCCTTTTGACATTGGAAGGTTCTATTGAGCCAATAAAGCAGAGGACATCTCGGTCAATTTTGCACTGATTGCTGCTCAATGGGATTCAAGGTTTCTTTCCCTGGCATGGATAGATTGTCCATCTGTTTACGGAGAGGAGTTATTTATTACGGCTTACAGATGATTGGTATGTGCTTATGAGCTCAACTTTGAATTGGTGAAGAGAGTAGATTTGATAAGTTCTTTGCATTTCACATTTTTTTTTAATGTTGTAATAGAGTACTGAACTATATTTAAATTAGTATTGATTCCACCTGTTCTTTCATTCAGTCATTTGTTACCTTACCAATCAGATTCTTTTCTCCCCCTCCTTTTTATTATGTGGCCTTTTTTGTCCCGTTTGTGCGAGTCTTTTTAATATACATTTTTTGAATCAGGAATCGGACTCAAGCCGAGGGACTGCTCTTTCTTTCTTTTGTAATAATATTGTGAATTTCTTTGAATGGTTTTGATACTTAAATTTGAGCTTCTTTCGAGAGGGAAAAAGAGAGGCTCGTTTTTGTTTCCAGTAAGGTAGGTAAACGGGTAAGTTTAAATCTGTTTACAACGTTTGTCTCTCGAAAAGGCGGAAAAGAAAAGGATGTAAAATATTTTACGTAGAGAACTTTTTCTGATTGTTCTTCTCCCTTCTTCTTGGATCGGATTAAGTTCTCGGCTGCAGAGTAAATTAGAAGTCAGCAGACTTTTGTCTTCTGATAAAAGGTGAAGCTTTATATTCAGAGAAGAGTTCCATGCTCATTATATCAGATTAACATACCATGCCACACATGAAGTACCTTCTAATTTTTAACAAAATTACTGTTGAAAAAATTTCCCTTCAATATTTCAATACAGTTTCTATTATCACCTATACATATGAAAATCATGACATAGATTTTTGAGGGAGACAAAAATAAAAAAGAAGAGAGAAGAAAGAAGAAGATATCTCAAGATTACTCCTGAGTAGTGTCAAGTCATAGAATTTTCTCCCTTGTGAAAAAAGTCTTTAGGTGCCACATTTGCAAACCGGCAACTCCTAAGCAGATTATAAGTGATAGTAGACTCAGCATACCCATTCTTGAATTTGTGTCTACATTTATTTTCCAAGATTCCTCCTCCCTTCAACAAAATAAAGAGATAAAAAGGCAATACAGTGGTAAATTTACTGTGAAGTAGACCAAAAAATATATATTTCAGCAACTGTACCTTTCCCGCAAACTTCTCATCTCCATATATATCAAGTTAACTGAATTCTCTAACTTCTTCAAGTCTGTCTCCACTGCCTGCATGTAAGTAAAATGAATTACGCTCGAGTGCAAAAAGGTATAAATGTTAGGCTTAATTGTTATATATATAGGCTTAATTGTTATATTTATAACATGAAATATACAAAACACCTACAGAACAATAAGGGCTAAAACACGAATACTAGCATCCTCTCACTGTTAATGCAGTCCCTGGCTTCTAGCCTTCTACCTTGTATTCATCTTCAACTTCACTCTTTATAGCAAAAATACTTTTGCTGCCATTAGTAAATGCATTTAGCATTCATGGGTAATATTAGTATAAAATATGTGTTAATTTCACCATCATCAGCATTGTCTAAGCCAAAGCTAAATGAGTCTCCAAATTTAAGGTGCGCAAATTTGAATTGTGATGGCTACGTAAAAGATTTAATGAATTTTCATAGCTGGCTATCAATCCAATGTTAATCTTTTGATTTGGTGGAAAAATATCTAGCTCACCAAACTATAGACAAGAGAGATGCTTTTCATTACCTCGTATTTTTTTTGCTATTGGTTTTATAGTTATCAATTTAAGGAACCGAAGAGTGATCCTCAAAAGTTCCCCAAGGCTCACAATGAGATGAAGAGGTGAAGATGATAAACTTGCTACATTGATATAACGCCTTGTTTGGTACGCAAGAATAGAGTCAAGTGAGAATAAAATGAAGGTAGGATGGAATGGAATTAATGTGGAAATGGAATGTTCATTCTCATTCTCATGTTTGAGTGCAATTAGATAATTAAGTAAGAATATCTTTAAGAATGATATATCTAGAATTTATTTTATTATTTTCATTCTCACTTAAGTGAGAATATCAATTCCTTGATAATTCATTAGGAATAGCAATTCTCACTTAAATTGATGAGAAGTGAGAATGACATTTCTAGCATTTAAACACATCACGTTTGGTAAGCATGAATGCGAAGTTGGAATTACATTCCATTCTCACTCATTCCCCCGCGTACCAAACAAGTCATAAGAATATTAAATGGTAGAGTAGGAATGTGTTTGCTTACGTACTTCAGGTTAATGCATCCCAACAGAAAATCAAAAATCCTTACTCCCATTGCTTTACTCCTACTATTCTTCTAAACTTCAAGTGTTGAAAATAAAAGGTGAAGATGTAAACACTCTAGATGGCAAGTAAGTACAGCGGGAAAGCGTAGAAAATAAAGAACATCCTTAAACTACAATAAAGAGGAAATTTTATCAGTGTTCTAAGTTCAACACAAGGTATATGTGACACTTGCAGTTCTCACCATATACATACTGGTCCTTTTGAGATCCTGCAGTATACATCTGGTCATTTCGAGATGGGTTAATTGCGGATAGACCCTGTAGTGTTGCCCGATAGACGCCCTATAGTTCTAATTGTGTAGATAGGTCCCCGAAGGTTCTTTTACGGGGGTTCCATTTGATGATACTAAGGGGGGTCTATCTGCAATTAACCCTTCTGAGATCCAGTAAAAGTAAACAATTCTACAAAGGAAGGGTTACAATTCCCTCATATTAAGCTTTTCATTTGTGATTGTATCTCACTCATCCCTGGAAAACCATAACTCTGCAATCCACAACCAGAACTTTGACATGCACCACAATCATGAAGTGCATCAAATCTGCCTAATGGCCTGTTTGGATGGAGGGTAGAGAGGGGGAAGGGAAGAGAAATCTCATTTTAACCTTGTTTGGGAGTTTCATTTGGGACGGTAGAGGCGGGGAATGGAGGGAAATTTGGGCCAAAATCTTATACCCCAAATTGGTGTGTAATGGCTCGTTCCTTAATAAGTGAACTCCCAAACATATCATAACATCTTGAATTCACTGCGAAAACGGATGAAATAGAAGCTATGGAAGAGGCAATGCGATCGAAATACATACATCGATCTTCCTCCTTTTGGCGACTCGGTTGAACTCATCGGCAGCAATCCCAGTCTTCCACTCGAAATCAACCTCAATCTCTCCCCCTTCAAGCTTGAACACCGGCGACCAGAAGCAAACGCTATAGCTCCCAGCCCTCTCAGCAGTGAACCCAAACCGGCCCGATTCCACGTCATTCGACAGATGTATGGTATCCCCATTTGGATCCGTCACCTAACAAACAAAGATCCAATCTTTTCAACCGAACCATCAGAAGAAAAAAAAAGAAAAAAAAATCAAAACTTCACGTGGAGGGAGAAATTACTCGAGCGGACATGTTGAGGCGGTGAGGGGAGTCGCCGGCGAGGGAGTAGACGGCGACGGAGACGGCGGCGGCGTCGAGATCCTCGGCGATGCATTTGACTTTACCGGGGGGTACTCGGATCACGAGGGAATCGAGTGGGCAGAGAGAGGAGAGCGTGGAGAGGAGCAAGAGGAGAGCTCGGAGAGACGAAGGGTTCATCTTTTTGGTTTTGCGATTTTGATTCGTTGAGCTGAGCGGAGACGCTTGGAGATCCGAGGTCTTTTTGGTTTTGTGGTTGTTTGCAAGTTGGGGCGGTTTATTAATGGAGGGAAAGTTGAACTAATTGCATTTTTTTTTTACATTAGTTAGAGAGATGGCTTATAACGAGTTTGAATCCTCTCTACTGTAAAAAAAAAAAAAAAAAGAGAAACAGTTACTTTTTACTGTTGCTGATTATTTAGCGAGTGATTTAGGTTCATTATAAATTTAGCATTTATCATACCCACATGTGTTGCTCTGATGCCTAATTTGTACTCAAAAACACATCACGTCCGTTAGTTATGCGGTGCATATCCAATAAAGTAGTGATTTATCAACTATTATTTTTTTAGCAGAGAGGACTCGAATCCGCGTGATCCCTCCATGAGCATGGGATTAATAGTGCATTAAAATATTTTTGGTGTACGAATCATTAAATTCAATGGTGTATAAATGATGGCGTTTCTTTCTTGTTGCCAAATTCAAAATTTATTCCTTTTGAAAAACTCACCCCTCTATTATTTAACCATTGCCCTTAGGACAATATTTAGCAAAATGAAAAGTTTTATGAAATAAAATATCATCGGTCTAACATATGAATTTTGCATTTCATTTCATAAGATTCTATCGTAATTAATAATTATGAAACGGGACATCATCAGGCAGCATCACGGTAAGTCCAATTAACTCGACTCCGAAACTAATTTTCCTTGTTTTCTTGTCGGTTTATTTGTCCTTCCTCGATTTTACCAACCCAAAATTACGTAAAGAGGGGGGGGTTACTTGTAAATGATCAGTTAGTGGTTAGTCTCCATCATAACGCCAACTAATTGGGGAGGTTCCTTGCTTAGTTCTCCACCAATCTTCTTGTTTTCTTGGCTTGATTTTATTTTCCCCTTTAAGCCTTTTTTCCTATTTTAGACCTTACTAGAATTTAATGAATGAACTCTATGTTACTATCGGCTAAGGAGTACTTAAAAAAAAAAAACTTAGGACGATATATGAAATCTATGGCCAATGTTGGACCGTTCAATACGATAATCTCAACTCAAGACCATGGATAGTTGTGAATCTTGTGAATCAATTTGAATGTGAAAAACACTGTATCTAATTTCAGATCATTAACAATAGTACACAACATGTTAGAAGCTGAAATGTCTTTTAATAATATTTGTTTGATGTAACACGTATTCAACTAGTTCATCATAATATCTTATACCATCAATATGGCTGGATCCAGCAAGCCGCGTGGATGTGGCACATCAGCAAGCATATCTTATACCATCAATATGGCTGAAATCCATAGGTGTTTTGTTATGAGTTAAAATTTCTAAAATGTTATTTGTTTCATTAATATTTTAGGATTTGTGATACTATAATTTGTAATATTTTATTTATTTCAAATTCAAATTATAGCGTTACCAAATGCCAAAATTTTATAATATGATGAATATATTATCTTGGTGAGGTTAACACCCACAAAAAGATAAAATTTGGGATTTGTCAAATCCTCTCCAATTGAGAGGTAAACACGCCTATTTATGAGATTTGTTAAAATCCTCTCCAATTGAAAGGATTTGACAAATTCTAAAAATTGAACATTTTTTGCATTTTTGGGATTCAATATTCTAAAATAATTCTTAAATCAAACAACATATATAGAATCCCAAAATACAAAAAAAAAAAACTCACTTTTTGATCCCAAAACTTGTAATCCATACCAAATGCCAAAATTTTTGGTGAAACAAACCCCCCCTTAGCAAACTAGCCTAACAACTCTGTTGATCAATTTGTTTTACCAAATTGCAGTTAAAAAAAAGAAACCACGGATTTATATAATTATTTCCTTGTAAATTAACCACCTAACTAATGCCGATCAGCTACTTTGCAGATCCCAGTCATGCAACACGAACGGGGGGAAATCAATGCAAATTAGAAAGTTCATTATTTTCCAATCTCATCAGTATACACATACTATTACTATACATCATAAAATTAATTCATGATACAACACCGCTAGAAAATCCATCTGCAGCATCAAAGCTTCCACAGGCTAATTTCCTTGAACCACAGAATGCTCTGTCAGCCCTCCATAACCTGAGATCGAAAAAATAATCTAACAAACAATGACAAAACTAATAATAAAACAGATCTCACGGCTTCCAAGGTGCTGGAGGTGGTGGAGGAGTCGGGAACATCGGAGGAACCGCAGAGAATATCGTGTTCTTATCAACACCAGTGACACCATCATTCTCGCCAGAGAGAGAGACGAGGGCAGCAACAAGACCAGCATTGCCTGCAAGAGTTGCTTCGGTGTAATTGTAATTTGTGCGGACGTCGTGGAACCCATCGTGTCGATCTGGGCCAGCAACCATCGCTCCAACTATCGTGTTAGGGTTTGGCTTCTTGCTATCTCTCCATTTCCACCCACCTTTGCAGCTGTATTTGACCCTGTTCTTGGGGATTGATGCACCTCGGTGGTGGACGTGTTTTGGGTAGTGCTTGCCAAACCCCACAACATAGCTCATCTTTCGAGGATTTTTACCAAGAATGTAATCGATCTGCAATGATCAGAAGAGAAGATGTCTTAGAATGAGAGTGACCTACTGAATTGAACCATTTATGCATTTATACCCAAAGGTGGATAACAAATGGGACTGTGTCAAGCAATTTTACGTGACAATTTAAAGCTGATATTGCGTATCAATGAGAATGTTAACTGCTATAGTTTTGTAAAGGTAGTTCAAATTGTCAATACTGCTGAATTTTGATTACTTCGAACAGAAAGCAACACAACACTATCGGATTACTCAAGCAACGTTCACTAGAAAATGACATTTCAGCTGAAATTCAGATAATTTTGTCAACGTTCCCACTCTAATGACAAGAACATAGAGCTATAGCTATAACCACATAAATAGAGTAGAACGTTTGTCCAAAGTAGACATGCTCCTTTGGTTTAGTATGGTGCTAATTGCTCATTGATGTAATGTATACGTGTGCCAAAATGCATGCACATACATGGACACAAGTATAATTAAACTATTAAATCTAAAAAAGTTTTCCGGTGTTTAAATATTTCAGCCAGTACCTCAAAGCCACGACTATCACTGTAGTAGGGATATTGATTTCAGTCACTAGAACTAGAACAATTAACATTCAGTTGATGCAGAAAACTGGACTACCATTTTACAAAAAGCATACCTGGTCTTTGGCAAAATTGCGCAGAACCTTGGTGGAGAAAAAGTTTGGACCACAATACCATCCCGGGGTATCAGCAGCTTCAAGATAATCGCTAAAGACTGATGCAAGGAAGGCTGCATTTACTACATACTGAAGAGGCTGCGGTCTTCCATGATTTAATTGAATCAGGCCACCTGAAAAAGAATTGGAAAATTGTCAGGCTTTCCGTTCAATCGAGAGGCAAGAGTGCCAAGAGATTGACAGTGACCAACTAAAGAGGATCGTGAACCTTTGGTTCGGTTAAAGGAGGTGAAAACTGGCAAGTAGGAGCACATAATAATGCCGGTTTGGTTGTGGAAAGTCCTCAACATTTCTTCATAAGGATAGCCCGGACTCAGAAATAACCTCAATCTGCTAAGAAGAATCTGGACAAAAATAATAAAGGAAATGTAAGGGTGAAATAAGTAAAACAGGTAAAATGCTACTAAAACATAACAGGTGTGCAAAATCTATGACCGAATTAGAAGGCTTTACGAACTTTGTTAGTTATGTGCCTTCACTTTGACCATGTAAAGACTCAGTAAAGTTTGCTATGCTTCTAATGAAGCTTAACCTGTAGAGTCAACACTTAAAAAGAGTGCATTTTCTTCTAGAAAAACATGCAATCCCACTCACACAAGTGCTCATTCCATCAAACAAGCAAGCAATCTTCTGATGATTCTCATATAGCCAAAATAATAAAACCTCACAAACCAAATAAACAAAAATGAATGGCAATCCATTTGCAAACTTACTTGAGCACCGGCAAGCTTGTTGTCCCAGCTAAGCACTCCGTAATCAGGCCCGCCCCAAAAAGCCCCAGCATGCTTAGCCATTGTAGGATGAGTAGCCAACCTAAGATAAGACGTATTCCCCGTAGCAAGATACATCCATGTCCCTCCCCAAACAAACTCGTCCCAATACATGGTCGAATTATAGAATTTGGCTGGATCATTGCCTTCGCTATATCTCCCTCTCTGATCCCTCGAAAATTTGAACAATGTCGTCGCCCCATGAACCAATTTCTGAGAGTATTTCTTGTTGTCTTTAAACACAATAGAAGCTGAAGCCAAAGCTGCTGCCATCTCAGCAGCAAGATCAGAGCATGCGTGGCACTCGAGAACTGGACGTGGGTAATCAATGTCTTCAGGTCTCATCCAACAATAGTGATCATTTGGTGTTGCACCTCCTGATGTATCCCCTTGACCAACCTACAGTTCAAGATATAAACAATTGATACCTTCCACTACTCAAAAAAAAACTCAAATCTTTTTAATAATAACGATCATAACGAAGACCAATTTTATCAAAAACGACATGACTGCTGTAGAGTTGAAAACTAATTTTAACAGCTCTACACAAATTGCTGTAAGTTTTTAGCCAATTTCACCATGATACGGGCCCAACCAACTTGAAGTACTCCAAATAACCCCCTCAAATTGACTCATTCAACAAGAAGATAGTCACAACACAGATCCTAAACGCTACACAACATTATCATATCTATAATTCACTGCAAGATTCAAACTTTATCGCCAAAACACCAAAAAAAAAGAACCGATCTTCATTACCTGCGCAGCGATCCGATCAATCGAATCCGCAGTGTGATTAAAAGTCTTCAACAAATAATCAGCTCCCCACTTAATGGTCTCCCTAACGTGCCCCAATTCCCCAACAGCCTCATACTTCTTGCTGTACTCAATCACACTCCAACTCAGCATCGTCATCGCGAAACTCTGCGGGAAATTGAACTTAATCGCATCCCCAGCATCGTAAAACCCGCCAACCAAACTCCGCCTCACCGCCGGGTCCGAGATCCCGTCCTTCAACCCCGAGTTCCCCCTCCAGGACACGTTGTTGTGCTTCGGGAGAACCCCGGATCTCTGCGCGTTGAAGAACATGAGGGCCTTGTGAAGGGCGAGGGTGTAGTTGTCCGGGGGCGGAGGGGGGCGGTGGTGACGTGGCACGGTCTTGACGATTAGGGTTATGAAACCGGCGAGGACGGCGGAGGCGAGGAGGAGGGAGAGGGACCAGATGAAGAGCTTGCGGCTGACGAGGAG